TTTAATTTTATAGTATAATTTAATATTAATTAGTTAGAATGAATTTTATTTTAGTCTAACCCTAACTTTAAAGCATTAAATAATTATTATAGCCAAAGTGCGTTGTCAAGTTTTTTGAATTCTCATATACTTGTATTTTGATTGGTCATTCCAGCTTATGTAACAGCGTTTCTCCTAGCGAGGTGTGTTTGATTGATTTGAATCTTTTAAAACCCTTTATTCTATATTCAGCACCATCACTTGATAAAACATCAGTAGTATTGAAACAAAATGGCTATATTTGTAGCGATTTTATAACATATTTATGTTATAATTTTCGAATAAATAATATATATATATATATATATATATATATATATATATATATTCTGAAATTATAAATCTATACATACGTATGTAAATTATAGAGACATTATATCGTAACGGTTCGTGCTCCACAATGTATAAGGCTCAGGATAAACGCTCCTACTAGAATTCAAAAGACACACAAATAATGCATCTCGCACATTCAAAACATGAAAAGAAACTAACAACACCAAAGCAACCCCCCCTTGAAAATGGCTAAGGAAGTGACCGAAACCTCTTTAGACAATCGACGATATGGACAGTTTTTTTTGTACTCCGTCACTCCCACCAAACGGAAAAATGTAAGAACGCTGGCAAAACTAACTAAAAAAAAAAATTATAACATTTTCCTTTCCGTCATATTCATCGAAAGTTGTTTAATAGAAAGTTTGCTGTCCAAATATACATTAATCACATATATATATATATATATATATATATATATATATATATATATATATATATATATATGTATGTATGTATGCGTGTGTGTGTGTGTGACTGCAGCTGCTGTTTCATATCATCTGATGGCATGTATAAAAAAATTAGTATGTTACTTCATACTGCGTATTGTCTCATTGTATTACCACCCACAACGAAAAACATTTTATCATTGACAGTCTGCATATCAAGCAGTTTACAAAAATTGTTTTTCTGTCTCAAATTTTTATTTTTTATTTACAGTCGAACTAATCTCTTCGTCTTTGTTTTAACACACACACACACACACACACACACACACACACACACACACACACACAGAGATTTTCTTAAATAAATACGTAAATACATCAATTTAATTTTGAAAAAAACATTTGTTTTACAAATATTTTTTAATCCCTAGACTATTTTACTTTATTTTATTTTTTAAGTTTTAATTTTTTTACTGACAAATGCATCACGTCTCCCTGAACTCTAGAAGAACGCTCATCTACGATGACTTGTCCGACCAATGGAGAATTCACGCCAATTTTCCGAATTTAGTATAATATCTAAGTCTTTTCTATAAATACTTTGATAATAATTGTTCGAATGCGCTCTTCGCTATGGTACTTAGATATTTTTAATTTAAACGCAGTACCAGACTGGTTACATGTAACCGTAAATTCTATGCCAACAGTTTCTTTTCTCGTACTTCTCCATTGTGGAACTCTCTTCCGACTTCATGCCAACTTTAATCTGCAAAAATTTAAATGCAATGTCAAAACCTATCTACTGTCCTCCTGATTACTCTTTCCGCTTCCCGCTCATTATTAATATTTTTCTTCCTAATTCTACCACACCCTGTAACCTCTTGTGTCTTAGTGGCTTTATTGTTTTTCATGGGTTGATATCGATTAAAAAAAAAGTCCGTCACAGCGATATCTTAAAAGGACAACTGCTCTTTTTGTTATTCTTTTATGTCTACGCTCATCTTCTTTTTCAACAAACTACAGTTGACAACTTTTTTTTAACCGCTCAATGTTGACGACCTTTCCATTTACAAGTTTATCACTTTTAATTCAAACAATCGCAACACCTATTTCAAGATAAACAAAAAACTTTCAAATTACGATATAAAAATAATACTTTATCCCCATCTTCCAATTTGCTTTTAACTTCAACTCTGTTTATAGAGGATTATTACGAAATAAATTCAATGTCCGAATTTTTTTTGTCGATTTCTTTAGCTGATATCTCGATACTATCTACACGGCCCTATATCGACTACCATACTATCTATACGGCCCTATATCGGCTACGATACTATCTATACGGCCCTATATCGACTACCATACTATCTATACGGCCCTATATCGGCTACGATACTATCTACACGGCCCTATATCGACTACCATACTATGTATACGGCCCTATATCGACTACCATACTATCTACACGGCCCTATATCGACTACCATACTATCTATACGGCGCTATACAAGATGTATAACGATTTACATTTGTTGCAGGTCTGTTATTAGTTGGACTAAAAGCAGTGGCAAACAACATTTAAACATGTAGACAAGGTGAATGGAAACGGAATAAATTTCAATATTTTCATGTGTTCTATAAATGGCTCATAAATGATATAAAATATAATTGTATTCATACAAAAATAACTGAAAATAAAGACGATATTATGACTATTAAGAATTATGTGTTTGTGTATATATATATGTGTTTTTGCATGTGTGTGTGTGTGTGTGTGTGTGTGTGTGTGTGTGTGTGTGTGTGAAAACGTGTTCAGTCACTCGAGGAAAGATATCCCCTAGTCGAGGACGAGTTCCGTGTTGGTGTTGCTTCTATCGCATGCTATAAAGGAAAAGCGAAAAAAAAAAAAAAAAAAAAGAAAGAAAGAAAAGAGGAATAAACTGCAAGTGTCCTGTTTTTATAGTTCCCTAAACTGCGCCACCTACGGCCTCTTGGCAAACCAACTCGGACTAATCTAACGCATTTAATACAAAAGTCAATCTGAAATTCTAAAAACAAAACTTTGTTATTATTCGATAAATTATTTGGACAAATATATTCATCTTTGTTTTGCCATGATCGGCTCGTCTTTCTTCGGACTCTCTAAGCTGTATACTGCTTCCGGTAGTACTTTACTAATGTTCAATTTTTTCAAATAAATCTCACATTTAATGCTAGGTTAGGTGAACTGTCCCCAATAAGATCATAACGATTCTCAATAATATCCTATAGTAAGTCAATGAAAATAAGCCTAAATAAAAAAAAAATACTGCACGACTCTCAAAAATCATGGGAAGTGACATCAATATGAGGAAGACCGAAGAACGTATTGGCTGAAAACAGTAAACAATCATTCTAGTCATCCACCCACCAAGTATTGATACGTCTAGCTTCCGTCCAACTGCACAAATGACTACTTTAATGATATGTAAAAAGAAAATAAAAGTGAAATATTAAATCGCTTCGCTTTATTTTATTGTGCTTCACTTTATTGTACTCGAAGTTTTTATTGTACTGTTATTATTATTAGCCTATTATTATTGCGCTGGACCCTCTCTTTATTAGTTCGCACGACCATAACGCCCTACCAACACCTCATAAATAATGGACTATTCCGTTTTGATCACGTGAGAAGACAAAAGACATCAAAGACGCTACCTGGTTTCAGTCAGAAAATGAAAGAAAAAAAGGGAAGGTAAAAGTGTTTAACATCAGTTTCAGTGAAATGGAAAAAGTTCTCAATTTCAAATATTTTCATTTTCACCTGCTTATTTCTTAAAATAACGACCAGCATTCATATTTATGATTGTTATAGAAATATTTTGTTAAACATGTTAAGCTCAAATAATTAACGATACAATAGGGGAAATTCTGAAAATGTTTTTACTGTCGTAGATCTCGCCATGATCTTATTCAATCATTAACTTAAGAATTAAGATTCATCAGAATTTCCAAATAGAAAAATCGTGAAAAGTAGTTATTATTTTACAAATGGAAGAATTGTGGCATCTCTGCTTCAAGCAGCTCGTTCGACGCCATTTTGGCTGCAATATTTTCTTAATAAATGTCTTTGTGTCACATTTTTTATAAGTCCCGTACTATTCCTAATTCTTTTCATTATTATTATTATTATTATTATTATTATTTGATTTCTGGCGTTTACACATTTCTTACCGGGTCCCGCCCAAGGACCTAAGGTTAGAAATGGCATCATGATACTTTCCACTGACAAAAAAAAAAAAAAAGTATTGCACAGATAAAGCCCTTCGTAAAGTGTGGGCTGTACTTGTCAGAACAATTTTTTGTATCTCCTTGAGGCATGGACTTCCAGGAATCCCTTAAATTAGTCTACTGCAATCTTTTCAAACCAGTCCTAGGGCTCCAACTACAACAGGGATTGTTGATGTTCCCATATGCCACATTTTTAGATTTTTATTATTATTATTATTATTATTATTATTATTATTATTATTATTATAGTAAAATTAGGACAGTTAAGCCTAGTTAATCTATAGTTGATTATCTCCCTTTAATTTAAAATTAGAAATGCATTCTGACAATAAAATATTTTTAAGCAATGTATGTAGATATTTTTTAGGCCTAATGCTATTACACACTTAATTGACTACAGTATAATTTAAACATAACTTTTATATGAACTGTGAGACCCCCAAAAACTCATGTGACCGTCTTATTCCGATATTTGCTTTATTGCGGTCGTCTGGAACCGAACTCGCAATATCTGCGAGATATGCCTGTATTTCACTTTCGAAACAGAAATAGGAGTATGGACGCATCAATAATTTCGCTCTAGGAACGTAACAAAAGTCATCACGCGAAGATATAAATTGAAAAAATTTGATCTATGATATAAAAGTAACATCTAGATTCGTTGCTAAATGAAAATTTTTCAGTCAGGTCCGAAAGGGATGACAGACAACGGAAGACGATACTGGAGGGGGTGAAAAGAAAAAAAAGTAAGGAAGTATAAAATTAGAGAGGTTCAGATTTAACGGGAAGTATGCGAAAAGGCAAGATTTCGAAAAAAAAAAAAAAAAAAAGATTCAGAGACGTGAAACAATTGCAAACTTAACGTTATTCTATACGGACCAACGTTTTAATCTGAGACAGAATGTAATGTTGGGGAGAGACGCGGCGAAGAAAGAAAATTAAAATAAAATAGTGTGGATATGAAGAAGGTGCTCAAAATAGAGAGGGTGAGAGTGAGAGGGAAAGAGAAAGAGAGGAGGTGGATAAAGTGAACCAATAATTTAAGTGGAGTTGAAGAGAAAATAGAGTCATTATAAAATAGCAACAAAAAAGACGGGTAGAGAGAAGAGAGTAAAAGTTAAGAGAGAGAGAGAGAGAGAGAGAGAGAGAGAGAGAGAGAGAGAGAGGTGAGAAATGAAAAAGAAAGAGGTAGATAAAATACGGGATAATCTGTGTATCGAAGCGGCTCTTTTGGAAAAAGGTTTGATAAGAGCAAAAATAAGACAGACAGACAGACAGACAGAGACAGAGACAGGGTAAGAGAGAGAGAGAGACAGGCAGACAGACAGAGAAAGAGACAGGGTAAGAGAGAGAGAGAAAGAGACAGACAGACAGACAGACAGACAGAGACAGGGTAAGAGAGAGCGAGACAGACAGACAGAGAAAGAGACAGGGTAAGAGAGAGCGAGACAGACAGACAGAGAAAGAGACAGGGTAAGAGAGAGAGAAAGAGACAGACAGACAGAGACAGGGTAAGAGAGAGAGAGAGACAGACAGACAGACAGACAGACAGAGAAAGAGACAGGGTAAGAGAGAGAGAAAGAGACAGACAGACAGAGACAGGGTAAGAGAGAGAGAGAGAGACAGACAGACAGACAGAGAAAGTGACAGGGTAAGAGAGAGAGAGAGAGAGAGAGAGAGAGAGAGAGAGCAGGAAAAGCAGATTGTGAAAACAGAAAAAAAACGTTTGGAAATGATAAAAGCAAAACAATAAATTGAAAAGAATTGTAAAATAAAAATCAGGAGTGAGACGAGATGGAAGAAAAGAAAAGCGGGGGAAATTGAGGAAGAAGGTAAAGGAGACTTTCAAGTGAAAGAATGATAGAAAGAAAATGAAATGAGAACGAAAGAAAGAAATGAAAAAAGTTGAACCAAAAGTCTTTTGTGTGCAGATTTGTATGGTCGAGTTTCAGACTTTTGGTATTTTAGATGCTTTTAGTTCGTAACACGAGTAACTTACCCTTCTTGAAATAATAATAATAATAATAATAATAATAATAATAATAATAATACTTAAACAATTAGACAAAAAGAGCATTTTAAGAAAAGAACCAGAAAAGAAACACCAGTTTTACAATATTTCGACAGTACGAATGTCTTCTTCAGGCTTAAAAATCACAAATACGTATAAAAATACAATATATATATGTGTGTGTGAGTGTGAGTGTATGTGTGTGTGTGTGTGTGTGTGAATATGTGTGTGCGTTCACCTATACAGGCTAAGTAGCTTTTATTATGTTAAGGCCTTCTGAGCACATATGTCTGACTGCATAGAAAAATTACGTACCCATTTCTAAACTTTCAAATCTTTATGTAGACACAGATACAAACACACAGATACGTAAACCTATCAATTTAGCCATTTATTTCTTTTACTCAACAACGATTTATTTTTCAACAGAATATATATATTCTGTTTTTATTTAAATTATTTGCTCTGAATTTACATTGAGCTCTCTGGATTTTATCCTCCTTAGGTTTACCCATACGGATCACCTAGTTTTTCATAAACTAACTAAGTATATATATATATATATATATATATATGGGTGAAAATTATATATAAATTTGTATATACTAGAACAATGTCAGGAAAATTAATGACAAACCGATAAAATGAATGCATTCAATTAGTTACTCACCGTAATGAATTTGACCATAATTTCGATTTTAAGAAATGGTACTCTAATTAAAAGAGAAAGAAATTTACTAATACGAAAGTGTGTAGAAAACATTTTAATCCCAAGATCATTTACAGTAAATTTGCGTCCAGTTTCTTAAAACGTTTCACTAACAAACGTGATGGAAACATAAACAAAGAGAATCTAAATGAAATTGGATAGGCTTTGCCGAGCGTGGAACTACCTCTAAGATGCTGTTGTTCCCAGGTTCACTCCGACTGGTTGCCAAAAAGGCTATGACTCAGACTATCCTGCTATTTAACCCATAACTGGAGGGAAGAGATAGATTCATAGATATCCCAGGCTTATTTGTGCGTAAGTGAAAGTAACGAACGCGACCTAAATTCGAACTCGGCTCCCCGATTTTTCATTCCGAGCCGTTATCCATTACACTGCCTGCACATTCATGCTTACAATATCTAATATTCCCAAACGGTCACCCATCTAAGTACTGACGTTGCTTAACTTCAGTGATTGGACGAGAGCTTCAAATATGTTTACAGTGGCTTACGGCCATATCACATTGAAACTCCGGTTTCTGTACGATACGTAGTTAAGCAATGTGAGCCTGCTTAGGAATTAGATGGGTGAGCGCTTGGGAAAATCAGATACTGTGTGCTTGGATGTGCTGGATGTAATGAATAACGGCTCGGAATTGAAAATTGGAGAGCAAGTTCCAGTTCTATTCAAGTTCATTATATTCACTTACGCGCAAATAGCCGAGGGAAAGATACGAATCCACCCCTTCTCCCTCCAGATATACGTTAAATAGTAGGACTTTTGTCAGTAAATCATTATCATCTGCAAAAAATTGTTACAATTTAAGGGATAAGTCTCTGTGGAAATATTATGAAAATTAATTGATATTCAACAACTATCGGCTCTTTTGCTAATATTGTAGACGAAGATAAGTTTCCCGAGTTTCGCCGCGAACTTATTCATTATGCCTGATCTATACAGTTTATTAACGGCCTCAGAACAAAGGACTGGATTTTTGCAAGGAAGAACAACTTAAATATTACCAAAAGCAAAGTGTGGTTGGTAATGATAATAGTAATATTAACCGTTTCCTTATAAGGAAACACTTGGCATTCACTGGCCGAGTACTGTCGGTTGAAATGTATAAAATCTTCATCTTGAAACAATTTTTCAGGAAAATGTACTGCTGGTAATTTTATTTATTTATTTATTTTTATTATAAAAATGTTTTTTTTTTTTTTTTTTAAATTTTCGTAGTGTTTTGACCCCAGTTTGGGATTAAACTATTTGCCCATAGTTGGGACACTAACAGAAGCTACCAACCCAGGTTTGGGTGGATCTGGGAACAACGGCAATTAAGAGGTGGTACCACGCTCCTGAAAATTTCCTGATCAGAATCCTTGTTGCCGGATGTAGTTTATCGTCATACCCAGGACAATATTATTTGGTACAGATCTTTGCGAATCTGTTTGATTATCACCAAGAACGACGGTCTTCACTCACTCAAAACCATTTTTAACCGCTGATCTTAGAAAGCGATTGTATACAGCATATAGTTGAAATATTTCTCAACGCGATCATTTAATAATATTAAAATTCCTCATTACAGGTATACTCACAGAAATAATGCAAACATCAAAGAATCCTGTGTTAATTGCAAACAATTATCATCCTTGGCTTTTAAAAGTTACTTTCGAAATTTCTGATATAAAATTACATATGTATACTGCTTTACTGTTTCCTCATTTAAAAACTGGAAATTACACCAACAGTTAAAAACTAATCATTGGACACGACCACCATCAAATAATTCATAAAAGATTTAGGACATTTATTGCTGGCGGAAGCAAACTTCATAATAATTTAATACACAATTACGCATCACTATCTTTCGCAGAATATTAGAAAAATCATAGAATTGTCTTTAAATTTTACTTGGCTCTTTATTATTTGTGCAAGTCGTACCTCGTTTACAAGTTTTAAGATAAAATGAATTTAACAACAGTTTAACATTTTGCTTTCTGGAGTTTTATTTATCGCTACTCCATCCTATTTTAGTCTATACTTCCTATGTGGATTTTCCTTACACTCGGCGTGATAAACAGCAGCTTGAAAGACTACAAACACGCTTTAGTGAAATGATTTCTGAAATTAAAAATATCTTACATCGATAGCCTCACTTGAAACTGAACGTCTTAAGACTTGATTTAATAGAGGTATTTAGATTATTTACATTATTCGGACTATTGTCCTCATCTTTGTCGCCATATTTATCACAACGTTTCGGCCGTTTTACGCTCCGGCCTTCTTCAGGTGGTTGGAATTTCGAACTGAGTTTGAAGTTCCAACCACCTGAAGAAGGTCGGGGCGTACAACGGCCGAAACGTTGTGTTAAATATGGCGACAAAGATGGGGACAATAGTCCGAATAATGTAAATAATGTACATAATACCTCATCTCAGAAATATAGACAGACCCAGAGATATTTAGAATAGTAAATTCAATTGATTATTATAGTTTTCGAGAAATAATTTAATAAACGTCAGTATAAATCTTTTTTAAAATCACTTCAATTCAAATAAGGCGATAAAGACACTGAAACGCAGAGAGTTACTGGGTGTGAAAAATCTGAGAAAGAAAAGACATGATTAAGGATATAATTTAGGGAGATGACGATTCATGTTGCATTTACTTTCAAAGTTGACTGGAAAGCAAGAAGCCAGAAGAGAGTTTCACAAGCAAGGTATGAGAGAAGAAACTGTTAGCATACAACTTAGTTACATCTAGCCAGTAAAATGATGAAAGCTTGCTGTCAGTCAGATACTACGCTTTAATTCGTCTAGTGCCGGGAGCAAAGCGGAAAGCTCACCAGAAGAATAACCTTGAAGATATTTATAGAAAATACACAGGGAAGCTACATCAAGGCGGTGAGAAACTGACTGAAGCCGAGATGCCAGGTCAAGGCCGATAACATTGTAGATTCTTTGGATTTTATCAAGAATTTCTAAATACATAACAGAAGTGGGCACCTCGACGTTATGTAATAGTAGTGAGCTCGATCCTCACTGGGTGTTCTATACTTTCGACTTTGTGTCACATCTAAGTTACGCTTAGAAAATCACCATAAGAGAATCGCCAGATCAGATGTGACAGTAATATTCAATGCACGGAGGAATGGTAGTCTTATAAATGTCTAAGATAAATCCTGGCAAGAAAAATTGTCCAGCACAACCCAGTGAATCGACTTTCCTAGTAGAAGACCTAGCATATCATTCAATATAATCGTTCCACTTTATGTCAGTGGAAAACGTGAGACCGAGAAGGCAAAATGTGTCACTCTCCTGGAAGGTGGTATCAAATCAGCCATGTTAATAGAAATCAAAATGGATTCTTTAAGACAAAGAGTTCAACCGCTACTCTATAGTCTGAACATATGAAAATATTATTTTCCATGTGTGTAGTGAATAATCGGAACACTCTCCTTTTTTCAGCAGTCGATGCTAAGTCAAAATATAATCAAAATGTATTTTGATCTTCTTTTTAGACCTCTAGTCTTCAAAAAGAAGATCAAAATACATTTTGATTATATTGGCAAATAGTACTTGTGTATAATGTACCTGTTGCACTGTCTTAAAAATTTTTCTAATTCAATTCTTCCATTTTTTTTTCTGTATGTTGTTGGCGTTCTTTCGCCTCTTGTTTATTTTCCTATTTCGTCCTAATGACTCAGTCAGTTATGTGCCATGCGTGATACACACTTAGGCGATTATGTATCTTTCGATACATGACTGACGAAGCAGATATTTTCCCGCAGTAGGTTGCTGTTTCTTTCTGAGGTAGAGCAGTTGCCATCCAAGGCTAGAGAACCTGCTCTGTCTTACTATTTAGCCATAGTTGGCGGCGGGGGTGGGGGGGATAAGAGGATTCATACCTTTCCCAAATGTAATGAATCGACTGGAATTTGAACTCGGCTTTCCGATTCCTCAATCCGGTATCCATGACGCCACCGTGCCTCGCTAATGACTACTGGTGTAATAATAGATAAATACTTTTCTTTAAGGTTCGCTCGGAATTCGGCAGACAATCGTCGAGGCATTTTTGGTAGACTGGCCGAGGCGCACGGCGCGCGTCCGGTGACGCCGA